CGATAGCCTTCGTCATGAGTCTCACGACGCAGTTCACTGTGAATACGACGACGCAAATCTTGAGTAAACACATTTTTTATTCATGGTTTACGACACAGTCGTTTTACGTCAGCAGGACTGCAGTGCACCACTTCGAAATTGAGTGATGGCTTCGTCTCTGTGCAATCGTTTAATCTTCTGTCTCTGCATGATCGTGTGATGTTCAAGCTCTTCCCCACCATTGCAGCTTCGTGTGAGTGTCTTGTCCCCTCCCTATGTAATCGCTTAATGTTCAAGCTGTTACACCACCCTCATTGACTGTGTACGAACTGGCTCAACTCAAACCGATAATTGTTTTGTAGCCTGGGTTTCAAATGTGAATGTGTGAGTACTGCCGCTCCGTGTCTGGTCGGTGCGGGTTTATCTGCTTGGCTAGGACGACGCCGAGGACGACGTCCTAGAGAACTACGTCTACGACCACCTACCTCTAGCACGACCTCTAGGGTGATCACAAGGAAGATCTCTGAGACGACCTCCAAGGACGACGTCTAGGACGACGTCTAGAATGACCTCTAGGACGATCTCTAGGACGATCCCAAAAACGACCTCTAGGACGGGCTCAAGGATGACGTTTAGAATGGCGTCGAGGACTGCGCCCGCGTACGCGCAGCACCTGCATATGCGGACGTCGCGCCCATGCGGACGTCCTGCGCATGCCTAGGCGCCGCGCACGTATGGAGCATTCGAGGCCAGAGAGCGTATCTTGAAAACCGGGTGAAGTAGCTAAAGAATGCTACCGCATAAAAAACGACACATTTAAATGCCTGGCAGCTCGAAGTCAATGCAGGATGTACAACTCGTAATGCCGCCTTGCTTATCGAGAATCGATATTGAATTACTACCTGGGTTTGAGGAGTCAGCTGGCGAAAACAGGACAAGTGGATGTCAGAGTTCGATGTTTTGCGTCCATCTGATTCACCCTGGAGGACAATGTAGCCTACGACACGATCCCACACTCCCAAGGAACATAAAACGTAGCGTCCATGGAGTTGCGATGATATTCCTAATATAATTACGTATATTGCTTTGACCTCTGATCATTACTTGGGCCTAGACACTTTGTGAAATGCTGCCGTCGGGAGGCTTATAGACTATTGCAAGCTTGGCGCCACAAGTGGTGCCCCATGCGTGCAAGCGCGTGCAACGCGTGGGTGAACGTAGCTTTGGCAAGCTCGTAATCGCACGGGCGTGCCTGCTCGAGCAGAGACATGGCGGCGGCCAGTCGCCCAGCTTGCAATCGTCTATAATATATTCAGCTTTACGTGCACGTGTATCGTGGCCCTACCTCTGCTTCATCAGTCATGGGAGAGCGCCTTTAGAGCGCGCGACACTAGAGCGCCGATATTAGAGCGCGCGACACGAAGGCGCTGCGACAGTAGCGCAGCACTAGAGCGCATGTCACGAAAGCTCACCGCTAAAAAAAAAAAAAAAAAACTACTAGTAAAAAACTCCCCGAAGGAAAGCTCAACGCAATCGTATCGGATGCAGAGCTTCACCTTTTGACGATAGAAGAAAACATCACCTGCAAAGTTGTGAAATATATTTGAGAATTGTTTTTCCAAAATCTTAATTTGTTCACGCGTCGGGTACGGTGACGACGTTACCTTCTCTTGATGATAGAACACAACCTTAAGGCTATACTCGTTCTGCATGTCCCAAAAAAGAACCTACAAAAAAAAAACTTGTGTATTATTTTGTTTGTTCTTTGCATTCTACAGAACCTAAGCTTTTCCACCTTTGTTTTTAGAAAGTAGTTCAATCTTTTAGGGTCAAACGAGGGTGCTTCGATTCAGAAATATAGGAATAACAACCAAGCAAAAACCGCAGCAATAACGGAAATAAAATTTCGAAGGAAAAACTTTTAGAGATAAATAGACACCGCAAATCTACACGAGGATATTGTCGGGGGCAGTAAATTCAAAGGATTGACTGTAGGATTCGTACATCAGCTTTTTTTTTTTTTTGGCTGAATTTCGCGGCGTAAATCCCTGCCAATTTCACATAAAACACGTGATGTCCGAACAAGTGGTCGGTCAGGTCGGGCCACTCGCGTTGTGCTGGTTGTGCGCTCTTGTGACTGGCGCTCTAATGACAAGCGTGCTGATGTCGCTGCGCTTTCGAGTCGCGCGCGCTAATGTCGCAGCTCTCTTGAGTCGCGCGCTCTAGTGTCACGCGCGCTAACGTCGTGGCGCTCTACTGTCGTGCGCTCTAGTGTTGTACAGCCATCAGTCATACGCAGTGCTGGCGCTAACGCGTTACAAGTAACGGCGTTACCGGTAACGCGTTACGTTTTCCGGTAACGTTCTTACGTACTCTTACATTTTCAAAGCAGTAACGGGTAACGTACTTACGTTACTTTTTTTGAATAACGTGCAACGTAGCTACCTTACTCGTTACATATTTTTCCAAGTTTTAAACAAATGAAGCTTCAAATCGCTTCAAATTCTTTTTCTCTTTCTATGCAACAAGGTATATAAATTTTTAATCGTTCTGCATTTTTTTGCGTTCTTTCTTGTAAGTATTTAGATTGAACAAATAAAAGACCAAGTAATTATGTGCAGTTTCTGGATGGCCATAATGCTTCTTTAAATACGGCACTTATGCATAGATGTAACGTCAAAATTGTAAAACGTGCTAATTCTAATTTAAAAAAGGGACGCTGAAGTAACATGCGTTACCTTTAACGGTAGCGGTAACGCGTTCTTTTTACTTTGAGATAGGGAAGGTCGGTAACGCTTTCCTTTTATTTGCAAGTCACGAGTAATGCATTTTGTTACTTTTATTCGGTAACGCATACAACACTAGTCTTACGATATAGCATTAAGCGCGAGACATATGTTCGAAAAATCCATCCGATCCGGCGTCCGATCCGGCAATACGACTGCCTGATCCGAAAAATTTGGTCGCTTCAGACGTCGGATCGGCGATCCGACACGCGTCCAACGTGCCAGATAGTTTCGCACGGCGGACAGATTGTCGGATGCGTCCACCCAATGACAGCACAGCTAGCGCGGACGTCATGATGACGTACTGGGTCTGGCGGGACGAATAAGAAAACGGGACGGGCGACGGGAAGGCGGACGCGTGGATCACGCTGACCCATTCGAAATAGATGGCCCCGGCAGAGAATGTACGCGCTAGCGAGAACGAGCTCCTAACTTCGCTCGTGCAAGCTAAACCTTCAATCTGGGACCAGAGATCTGAGGACGCGGACGTCCGCTGGAGTGCTTGGATCTCCTGGGCGGAGCCGAACGGGTCGTCGTGTCGCATGCAAGGTCGGAAGCGTGTGTCTCAAACTATCGCGTGCGGCGATTCGGAGCGGCGTTCGGACTGTCGGATCGGACGTCGGATCGGACGATTTTGCCGTCCATGTGTCTCGCGCTTTATCCTGGTAAACATACCCGCGAGACTGCTCCACACTGAAAACTCCATAACTTGGAGGGTTAATGCCGTCTATTTAGCTGATATGTTGCGAATACTGCATGTCACCGGAACGCTGAACTTCTTTCTTATAAATGGCTTGCACTTGTGGTCATCACAGCCTGCTGCTGCTCACTGCCACTTTTTCTTGAGGAGAAAAAAAAAGTTTGGTGCTGGGAAATGTATGCTGCCGAGGGTAGGAGATCAGGAGCAAGGCCACTAAAATAGAAGCTGACGTAATGTCGGTGTAAGCTAAGTATTTGAAAGAAACAAATTATTCTCGCTTGGTGCGGCGTTGTGAGGAAGGGCGCGAGCGTGTGGCACCACAAAAGCGCACTTTCTCGCACGATTGTTTGCGTAAAGAAACTAGTTTTCGGGACTAAGCTCCCTGGTCTCCGACGTGAAACTTGTTCAAAATAATTTGTTCTTACAGCGGAGCTGTTAAAGGCTAGGTTCCCCAGGATCGTGTCCGTGTATGTCGACGCAAACCTACCTGGACAGCTACCACCATCTATAAGCGACGGTGGCAAGCACACAACCAGTATGGTTTCCGCCGTCGCTCGTAGATGGCGGCAAGCTTTCCAGCTATAGTAGAAAAATGGATAGTTCGGCGCGTTGGTGGGAATTCATCGTAGGAAACAGCGCGAAAAACAGACGACGACGAAGACGAAGCACACAGTGTATCGAGTGCAGCTCCGCTGGTCTTTCTTCTTCACGAGAGTGAAAAAGCTGAACGTTTTTGTTTTTTCACCGCAAAATTAAGCTACGCATGCCAATGTTTCAGAACTAACCGTTAATGCATTAAAAAGGTTATGTTTTTTTTAAGTTTTAATGAAAAAATAGGTCCGTTTTAGGTAACTGGCGTCATTCAGCTTCATGTACTTGAAGGCTTCGTCGGTCACCCCCTTCCGATTGAAAAATTGAAAAAAAAAATATTTACAAATTTTGAATCAGGTACGACGGTAAGTTATAAAATTTTGGTATCTAGTTTTGACCTCTGCACCTACATTAGGGAAGAGTATGAGCTTATGGTGGTGAGTCCTTTAGTTTTGCGGTGAGAACAAACCTGTAATTTTTCTAAGGGGGGCCCCCTGAACATACGGCGCCGAATAACCTTTACAACGTTTACAACTCAGTATTCTCCTAGAATCATCTCCCAAATTTCTTGAGCCTTCCTCTGTTTATTGGGCAATCAATTTTGACGGTCACTTTGTACCCAAAAACTTGGAATTTAAGCAAAAAAGAAAGATGATCGAAGCTGGTTGGAGAATTTGAGGACGAACCTCATCTGAGACTCAGAGCGCCTGAAATGGGCTCAGCTTCTCAGATTTTGAAGCCTTTTATTGAAACGTTGGATATTCCTCTGACGCCACCGGGATCTTTCTTTTCATGTACCCTCGCCCCGAACCCTTGTAGGGGCTTGTAGTTCTATGTAAGGTTCATTCCGGTCAATAAGTCACATTTAGTTAATTTAATACTTCTATGCTTGGTGAAAGCATTCTGTAGCAATTCAGAAGTATTCCGTCTTTTTGCAGGTCATGGGGCACTGGATAAAGACGTACGGAAAGGTGTTCGGCATGTACCGTTCCGGGTCCCCGGTGCTGGTGATAGGCGACGCGGAAATGATCAAGCAGTGCTTCGTAAAGGAATTCGACGCCTTCCACGACAAGCCGGGACCCCCAGTGCTTGTGGAGCCCTTCAAGGACAGTCTGCCGTTCTTGAAAGGTAATGTCGCTCTCGCACCAGGAATCCTGACGCGGTGGAATCTTCTTACATTAACGAGTGTCAGCAGATGGCACCACCTAGCATCTGGCTCCAAAGAATGACCGCAAATATATTTCCTAAAGCTAGAGGTACTTAACGGTTTAGAAAAGAAATTTCACTCAGCTCGCATTTGAGAGTTCAGCACAAGCATCGGACACGATACAACATATTATATTAATCTTTCGAGAACCACAAAACTTCTGACTGCCAACTTTATTAAGCCAGAAAGCGGTTGCCCTGATTCGCAAGGAAATATCTGGTTTAACCACGGCGCTCCACCAAGTGGCAACATCCTTCTCTTCCCTTATAAAGTCACGAAAAAGAGGGAAGGGCTATTCCATATGAATAAACGCTCGCTATTCAAGACATCTTTCTTTTTACTGAAACCTCATCAAGGAATATTTGATAGCGTATTTTAAGAGCTACTAACTCTCACATTCAGCAGTATCATGGACAGCATGAAACATTTCCCAGCGCAAACTTCCTCGGCAGGCCTGCCAGCCATCACTTGTCGGAGGACACTAGGCTGTAAGAGAGTTTGTCTCTCTATCGGCGTAAGCGCGGTTGCTAGATTTCTATGAAATTATTGGTTTTTGTATAAGTAAAATACTTCAGAAGTCTTTTTAAGTAGTAAATGTATTCACATACTGCCGGAGGAAGGTGAGCAAATTATACCATCACGAGGATACGGGACCCGCAATTAACGGCTCTTTGCACATAATGATCATTGTCAGTCTTTAGTACGTGTTGATATGGGCGGATTGAGCAGTCGCTTCATTACTTACAAATGAGATTACACCTCTACGTTAGTGTAATGCCATCTAATATGTTTGTTGTTTTTTTGTTTGTAATGCTACTTGATGTCGGACAACATGGTGTGTTTAACAGAAGCGCTTTTATGCTAGATTAAAAAAAAAAAAACTATTGGCGTAAAGAAATGTTATGCCAAAAATATGGCTTTTGGAGTTTTCGATTGATTATGAGTTACTGGGGCAGTTTGAATTCCGGCCCGCGGGGAGAGCACTTCCGGCGGGTGCAATCCCTACTTATTCAAAGGCTCCATTTCACTTCAAGTCCGAGCGCTGCCGACGCTGGGATCCGATGTACCCAATCAGGCAACACCAAAAGTGTCATGGCGCTTGTCGGTCTTGTGTCTTCGATATCCCGACTAAACCAACCACGCGTAGTGAATGCGCTGCGACACTGCGCCTTTTTAACAATCGGTTTTCCGAGTCGTTTTCTACAACAACATTGTCATGAACAAGTGTCCACCTATCGACAAGCACGGGCGCCATGAACGAGCGTCACGAACAAGCGTCATGAACTGTCAATATGGACGAGCGTCACGAACGAGAGTGCCACGCTGGAAGTTTTAAAAACGTCATGAAACAATTTTTTAACTCTTTCCTTCCTAGCTTTCCTCTTCAACTCACAAATCGCGCACTGCACAGAAAAGTCCAAGAAAACGGCAAGGAGAGACTCCCCTCTTGCTCGGACCCTCGTTTGTGTACCCGCGGACCCACCGCCATTCTCCTCCTAGAAGATTAGCCCGTCGCTCAAAACTCGGACAAAAGTTGCTTTCCCCACTCCGTTCACCCCGAAGCTGACAGTGCTGTGGAAGCTACATGCTCGTTGGGCCAGCCACACTTTTCCCACGTGACCACGCTCCCTCGCGCATGCCCACCCGCAGAGAATGAGGTGAGGTGATGAAACGGAGGCTGCTGATTGGTCTTGTAAGCGCATAGCTTCCACCGCACTGTCAGCTTAAAAGAGAAGGGATTAAATGCGGTCCGGTGTCGTGTGACGTGCATTTGGGCTGGGTTACGCGCAATGGGTACAGCGCATATGTCACAGTAAAGAGGCAGAGAGCTCTCGAAGGGAAGGAGGTACGAAATAGTCCGCTGTGTTTACAAATTTTCTTACCGATAACCAAGCTTTTGACTTTCTACCCTCTTTCTTTTGGCCCACTATACAATATGCTATTAGTAAAATCCCAATATAAATTCATTTGTTCAGGCTTAAAATTCGTCTCATGGGCCCTTTACGGCTCTTTAACATTTTTGTGTCGACCGCGTTGCGCTCCGTTGCGTCGTGCAGCGCGGCGCCTCCCCATTGGGTCGCCAAAACGGTCGCCAAAGCAACAGCTCGAGGCAGTCAGTCTTACCACTCATTCACACTGGAAGCGGATCCGCGTTCGCAAAGCGGTTGCGAACGCGGTTGTATAAAGATCCAGTGCAATTGCACGCGCACTCGATGTCATCGAGGGCGCGTGCAATTGTACTGGATGATTATACAACCGCGTTCGCAACCGCTTTGCGAACGCGGATCCGCTTCCAGTGTGAATGAGCGGTTAAGGAAGTCAAACGCAGTCAAACGCAGCTGTGTGAACGAGCCTTTACGCGGCGTTAAAGGTGCCCCGAGGAGGTTTCTGAAATCGCCTAAATATGGCGACAACTCACTCTGTTGCCTCTGAGCACCCCAGAAATTCCTAAATCGTTACGATACGCGGCCGAATGCCTTATTAAAAACAAGAAAAAAAATCAAAGATTACAATACATGAGGTCATCTGCGGCAATGGGAGGAGCATGTTTCGAAACCAGGACCACTGTCAACGAATACACCTTTCCAAAAAACGCTCCAAGGCTGCCGCCATGTCGCTGATGCGGCTGGTGAGACTCTGGCGCCCTCAATCAGCTAGACATTTTCTGCCACTCTCTTGGACTGTGAGAACCCGCTCAGAGCGATTCTCTACCTATGTGGTTGCGGTTTTGCATTGCTGAAGACCGGACACATCACTCCCGCAGAAGACAACAAAAGGCCCCCCCAAAAAAGAAACAACAAAAACAACAACAATGCCTTGTTTTGGGGACGAGTATATAAATATTGCGGTATTTTGTTCTTTCTCCGCGAAATACTAACAGTTTTCGACCACTCTTATTTGGTACTATCATCTACAGAAGCATATGCATTTTGTAATAACAGCGTTTGCAATCTCAACGAAATGTCGCGTTTTCATCGGTCACATGTCGTCCTGGTCGCCGTAACAATTCTCCTTCCATTGCCGGAGATGACCTCGGTGTGTTTGATCACTGATTACTTGTTTAGTAGGAAAATCGGCCACGCATCGTTTTATGTTTAGATTTCAAGGGTGCTTAGAGCCCGCAGACTGAGTTATCGCCAGTTTAGGCGATCCCAGAATCCTCTTGAGGTAATAAACAAAGGGTTCTTAGAAACGCGGGGTAAATCGTTCCTGCTAAAAGTACGCGTCGCACAAAAAAAAAAAAAAAATATATATATATATAGATGCCTTAGTGGTCTGCGTCAAAGGGCCCATTAGGAAAAACGATTAGTTCAGTATAATTGGGTAACTAAATACTTTTGAGTAAATAAATCTCTTATTAATATGTTTCGAGATACGGTTCCAAACTGGAAACTTGATGTGAATCATCCTATACCACTAAATCCACCTGTATTACAATGATGTAAGTCAAGCGCAGCATTTCACCGCGTTTCCCCCCCCCCAAAAAAACATTCCTCGATTTGGACGCGTTCCTAGGATTCGGTTTCTTATCTTGGCGAATCTCCGCGCCGACAATCCCGCCCCACGTGGCCAAGACGCCCAACGTGCGTGAGCCGCTGCCATGCATCGAACGTAAAGGTGCGTCTTCACACTGGCACCGAAGCTTAAAGAGAAAAACTCAAGGGGCCCAGTTCGGAGGTCTTCTTATCTATAGCCACTTCTACGATCTATGCTTGGCGCCGCCCGTACGTTGAGCAACGTGGAGCCGGATTGATGGCGCGTAGATGCGCCCCGATCAGAACCCGAAGCACAGAAACACGCCCATATTGAACATTTTTCGGAACGCCGTCAAATGCTGCGAGTCATATCATTGTAATGTGGATGGATTTACAAGTTTTTCATGATTCGTATCAAGTTTATAACTGAAGTCACCCCTTTAAGCTAATAATTAAATAGTTAATGACTGAAAACTAAGTAATTACCCAATTACTGACCACTAATAATTTGCTTTAATGGGCCCTTTTTGCACAAAGCATGGCGGCCTCAACCTTTTTTGTGTTCGATGCGTAATTTTAACAGGAGCTAATTGGTCCGTGTTTCCAAAAACAGTGAATAAAGCTTATATATAAAGCCCTCGGTCGATGTGACGCTAGCCTGATACTATTGGAGATATTCCCGACCAAACTCGTCGCTGTAGTCGACATTCCATGATTGGCGACATGAGCATGGTGAATTTTACGCGTAATAACGGAGGTAAGAATAATGTTAGGTCGTGAACTTTAGAGGTGAGGGGTTAGGGCGTGCCGAAAATAAAATGTGAGGTAACTATACTATTAGAAACCATTGTAAGTTCCCATATTTTTTGCGAAACTTGTTTAGTAAACGACGAGACACTTTTGTGTGTATAACTCGATTTATATGCGGGACCCTCGGATCCACCCTATAGGAAGTATTCACTGGCGGCCATATCCGTGTGCGCGACTGCTGAGCGCGTGCTGATGACGAGCTTCCACAGTTCATTTGTAACGTGCATTCCGAACCCTCAAGATTGCGGTCCTAGCAGCCTATTAATCTGGGCTCGTTCAGAGCAAGCCCTCTAGATATCAGTCACAAATACGGCGCCCAGTGAATACTCCTTATTCGGGAAGGACGCAATGTTTGGTGGGCCGGTGACGTACACCGCGAATGCGCGGCGCCCCCTTTCTCGCACTCGGAAACTTGGCTCTCTCGGCGTCTCGCGCTTCAGCTTCCTCGTTCAGCATCCGCGTTCTGAGCACGCGGTTCGAGACAGTGACGCCTATGGCATCGCTCGCTTCCTCGGAGTCTTCGACACTGATCGCAGCAGAGATGAGAGTAATTGTTGTCAAGAGATGTTGGAAGCTGGCCATTTTGACTTTGACCAGCTGGTGACGAGCTCCACCGACGAACGACGAGATCTTCA